GCTCCCATCCCGAGTGCGGACCGGGAGGACCCCACTTCTGACACCAGATGTAGAGGAGTAGTGGAGAGTGGTGGCGTCGTGTGCGCTGTCAGGTGCGGTGACCTCACGGGACGTGGGGTCGCACGCGCTGGGCAGTGCACGTGACATCACCCCTCCGAGGGTATATAAGGGAGACCCCGTAACGTAAGCGGGGTCACTATAGGAACGGGGATAGTAAACAGGGTGAAGAGGGAACCAGGGATAGTGAGAGGGATCAAATAGGGAGTCTGGGGAGAAGCCGGTGGTAGCCGAAGAGGTGCTTCTCTCTCCGGTCGGTGGAGTCGGCAGACTCCACGATCCGACACGGGAGAGAGAGACCGGAGCTAGCCGGCAGGGACCCGGACTCAGAGTAGGACCCCTAGCCCCTGGGAGTTGTGCACCCTGTGTAGTTTTGACCAAGAGTAATAAACCCTGGCGGAAGCCCCTAACTTACCTCCGTCTCCGAGTACGTCCGTCGGAAGTTCTCTACAACAACTGGTGTCAGAGTGTCTGCACGGCTGCTACAATGTTTACATCGGGAGCGGAGCGCAAGAACCCAGCGACGGGACGATCGGAGGATGAAGACGGCGGGGAGGAGGCTTCGGCAGTGACCCCGGAGTCCGGGGCTCCGGTGACAGGCCCCGAGAAGACGACGGGCGGGGGTGCCAGCTCGCCGCCACCACCGCTGGAGACGGGGAGCACCCCTGCAGACCTGCTGAGGCAGCTCCTGCAGGCGATCGCGCAGCTCTGCGCCCGTCTCGACATCGCGGAGGCGAAGTTGGGTCCTCCCGGTCCGCACTCGGGATGGGAGCAACTGTCAACTGCCGGGACGCCGCGAGAGGCGGCCGCCATCTTCGCCGCGACGCCCCAGCTGGCTATTTTGCCTGCGACGTCGCCAGCGGCGGCCATGTTGGTTGGGGCGCCTCAGGCGGCCGCCATTTTAACTGCGACGCTGCAGGTGGCGGCCATTGTTCATGCGACGCCGCACGTCGGCGCCATGGCTGCCATGGCAACTGCGACGCCGTTGTCCACCGTGGGTGCCGCCGCGACTTCGTGCCACACCGCGCGCGCGGGGTCTGCCAGCGGCGATGCCACAGCTCCGCACCATGCTGCGCCCGCCGGGGGAGCCCCAGGTACGTCCGGGGCTCCACACCTCGCCGCACCACGGGAGTTGCCGAGGGTGCCGCCGTGGTTCCGGCCATCGCCGCGCTGGCGGGGTACGCTGCGGGTGTCGCCGTGGCCCCGTGCATCGCTGCCGCGGCTCCTCACGATGCCGCGCCGCGGAAGTTGCCGCGGTTCCGAGCATCGCCGTGCCTGCGGGGTTTGGCGCGCCCGCCACCGCGGCTGCTATAGTTGCCGCGGCCGCGGGGTGGGCCGAGGGTCACGCCGGGGCACCGCACCTCGCTGTGCATGCGGGTTTTGCCGCCGGCGACGCCGCACCAGGCTGCTATTTTGCCGCGATCGCGGTGGGGGCCGCCGGCGACGACGCGGCCCCGCACCTCGCGGTGCCTGGGCGTTGCCATGCCGACGCCGCGGCTCTGCATCTTGCCGCGGCATGGGCAGCAGGAGCCGCCGCTCGGGCCGGCGCGCGCCTGGCAGGAGCTGCGTTGGGCTGCTGGGCTGCTGCGGCTCTCCCGGGGCCTGTCACTAGCTGGCACGGTGCCTGCCCTGGCGATTCGTGCCACATGGGGAGGCGTGCGGGGCGGTTGGCTGCGTCCGCGCCTCCACCTCGGCCAACCTGGCGGTCAGCTGCCCCACCGCCTGCAGGAGCTGCTGCAGCAGAGCTGCGGGGACGCTCTCCGCCCCGGACTCCGGGGTCACTGCCGAAGCCTCCTCCCCGCCGTCTTCATCCTCCGATCGTCTCCACGGGAACCGTCACCGGGGTCCCGGGCTCCGGGGTCACTGCTGGAGCCTCCTCTCCGCCTTCGGCACCCTCCAAGTCATGTGACGATGGGCCCTAGCCCCGCTAGATGCATGAGGTGAAGGGAGCGGCCGCGCAGATGATGCGTCGCGACTCGCCTGGGGCCCCGAACCCGATGCCAAGGAGGGTCTGGGAGAAGGTGGAGTCCCTTTTCCAAAGGCCCCCGGGGCATTCCGGCAGCCCCGCTCAATGTGGCCCCGCTGACCACAGCGGAAGCAGGCCACCGTGTCCGCCTCCTGTGGACGGGAATTAAATTTCTTCAGCTGCCGTCGGAAGTACATTCTCTGTTGAGCTCTCTTGATAAGGGAGCTGATGTTCAGTTCCCACTTGAGGTCCTGGGAAAGAATAGTGCCCAGGAAGCGGAAGGACTCAACATTGGTGACTGGGGAGTCGCACAGGGTGATGGGGGTGAGTGGGGCTGTATTCTTCCTGAAGTCCACAACCATCTCCATTGTCTTTGAAACGGATTGGTCCACACCAAGAGACAGCTTTCTTCTGAGCCTCGTCTCAAACGGTGTTAAACCAGAGGACGCCAAAAGGCGTATAGCCCAAAGACAATGCACTATTAGAGTAATGAGAGCTCGGGATGAGCATCTACATCATGGGATCTCCTTTGCCAGTACCAAAATATGATAAAAGACATGATTCCTTGTAAAAGGTTTCAGTTTGGTGTTTTAACATCTTAACACCTTGACTTAAAGCTTTCGTGACTGCATGAATTATTTCGGTAAGGCCACGTACATAGAACAAATAATACAAATTCAAACAATATCACGACATTTCGATCACAACACAAGCAATCGTCATCAGGTGAAAAATATAGCGGGAAGACTGCTGAGAATATATGGTGGGAGCGCTAAGGCAGGGAGTTATAAAGGTTTGAGATGGGTGTAGCCCAAGGCTCAGTGGGCGGGGCTAGATATGAAATTTGCATGTAAATGTAACATCAGAGAAATATTGACAAACGAAGCTGTGGGGGTGGCCTTTTGGCGTCCTCTGGTCTAACACCGTTTTGAGACTAGGCTCAAAAGAAAGCTGTCGCTGGTGTGGACCAATCAGTTTCAAAGACAATGCATATATTACCATATTTCATCTACTTGATTACTGTGACATTGTGTATAAATCAGCCCCAAGTACTGTACTGAAGAAGCTTGACTCAATTTATCACTCGGCCTTAAGATTTACATTGAACTGCCCATATAGGACTCGCCACTGTGATCTGTACATTGGGTCAAACTTAACATATCTTAATGTTCGACGGCTTGTGCAGGAGATCCAACAGATTACCTGTTGGATCTCCTCTCTCTCTTTCAAAGAACAACTTTGACCTAAGGTCTTAGCTCATTTACCAGCTTCACATTCCCCATTGCCGTACAAATACTGGAGGAAGGGCCTTTGCTATTGATGCCCCCACGGTCTGGAATGCTATTGCCAATAAACTGCAACTTGAATCACTACCTATGAGATCTTCACTCAAAACTGCTCTAGAGGAGTTGTACACCCCTAGCTGCCACTGCTATTCAGTGGCCTAAAATAAAATAAAATGTTTCGCTCCGGATGACCGCTGCAAAGTATGATCTGTGTTTTGATTTAGTGTGCTGATCTTAAAGGTGCATTGAAAAATGTTGATACTCCGACTGATGCTCCTGCTGTTGTGGAGTGACTAATGCAGCCAGCTATGGTTGCAGGGTTTGGTGGTACATGTTGTTTACGTCGTTTATTGTGAAAATTCCGTCAGTTCCTATGATCACTGTTACATTGCTTTTATGGCTTTATTTTGGTGATTTCGAAAAGTTTTTTGGTCGGGCCATGTTTGTTGTAGTACGGAGTTAGACTGATAACCTAGGTTGTCTTGTGGTTGTTGTTGTTGTTTGACTTGCATCCCACTGGGATTTTTGCACGCAATATTTAGCTGTCTTTTCTTGGATTTTCTGTTGCACATAGTCACAGTCACTTGAAGATGTTTTCTTGTTCATGTTTTAGTTTTTTGTTTGTTGCGGTTGCACCCGATTCAAGAGCCGAATGGCTTACAGGGCTATACCAAATAAATGAAACAAAAAAAATCAGAGTACGTTTTTTGTTTGCATTCTGACCACAAGCATTGTGGTTAATGATTCCTTGTAAAAGGTTTCAGTTTGGTGTTTTAATATCTTAACACCTGTTTTGTTGCCAGGAAAAGGGGGAAAATCCTAATATATTTTGGTACTGGCAAAGGAGATCCCATGATGAAGTTAAGAAATGTTGTTAAAGGTAATGTTAAGTAACAACGGTAAGCCTCTACCAAATGATTACTCTCCAAAAACAATGGAGGTAATGCTGCCATGGTCATTTGTCGGTGAATCCACGATTGCCACTGTTCATATTAATGCGTCGTTTCACGATTGAGGCATCATTCCCTGCCTTGGGCGGATTGTAAATTTGATTGTGGGCTTACGCTCCAACACACATCCGGTGTGCTGTACTAGTAACTAATTGGCATGTTTTGCTTACAAGACAACCTTACTGATTGACCGTGGCGGGTTTAACAACACATCTTCACGCGATCTAACATTATGGTTAATATTGGTCGCGAAAGACCTACTACTTTTGCGTGTTACAATGGCATTGTGACAATTGAATATCGCGATGACATCAGTCCCACGCAAATATCCTCGCGAGATGACGTAACCGCGGCGACTCAGTGTCAACCAACCCCTCGCGGAAGACGTAATAACGCGCCTGTGCGTGGTGACGTCACCATCACGACTCAAAACAACTGGCGCGAATACGTCACTGCGGTCAAACCGATGCGGTGACGTAAAATTGTGTCCGCGCGTGGTTGCGTCACGGACGCTGGGGGGGGGACAATTGATGACGTCACCACAATCACAGCGTTCACCGCCGACGCGTTGACGTCGTGTGCCTTGGTCACATCGCAAAACAATGATCGTTGCCGTGCGCGGTGACGTCACCACCGCGAGAAAAAAAATATTGCGCGGTGACGTCACTACGGCTCAACACACTTTGCGCGGTGACGTCACGCACGTTGAACGCTCCCCGTCTGCGTCGTGACGCCACCCAAATTAAATCCACTGCGCGTTGACGTCATTGTTGACGCTTTCTCTGCCAGCCCGCGAGAGCGACATCACGGGACTTGGTGTCTCAGCGAGCCAGGGAAGCCGAGGGACGCCGGGGGACGCCGGGGATCTGCGAGTGCCACGGTGAGAGCCCCGGGGCTGTGGCGGGAGGCGGACCGACTCGAGGCGCGTCCAAGTGAATGTACCACACACTGTACGCGTACTGTACAATACAGTGTGCCACCACCACCGTCACTGCTCCCGCCACCACCGCCGTCATCGCTTCCGCCACCACCACCACCCTCACTATCACCACCACCCTCACCACCACCACCCTCACAATCACCACCCTCACCACCACCACCCTCACCACCACCACCCTCACCATCACCACCCTCACCACCACCACCACCCTCACCACCACCACCCTCACCACCACCACCCTCACCACCACCACCCTCACCACCACCACCCTCACAATCAACACCCTCGCCACCCTCACCACCACCACCACCCTCACCACCACCACCCTCACCACCACCCTCACCACCACCCTCACCACCACCACCCTCACAATCACCACCACCCTCACCACCACCACCCTCACAATCACCACCCTCACCACCACCACCCTCACCACCACCCTCACCACCACCACCCTCACCACCACCACCCTCACCACCACCACCCTCACCACCACCACCCTCACCACCCTTACCACCACCACCGCCACCCTCACAATCGCCACCTTCACAATCACCACCCTCACCATCACCATCACCACCCTCACCACCACCACCGCCACCCTCACCACCACCACCCTCACCACCACCACCCTCACCACCACCACCACCACCCTCACAATCACCACCACCCTCACCACCACCACCCTCACAATCACCACCCTCACCACCACCACCCTCACCACCACCCTCACCACCACCACCCTCACCACCACCACCCTCACCACCACCACCCTCACCACCACCACCCTCACCACCACCACCCTCACCACCACCACCCTCACCACCCTTACCACCACCACCGCCACCCTCACAATCGCCTACCCTCACAATCACCACCCTCACCACCCTCACCACCACCACCGCCACCCTCACCACCACCACCCTCACCACCACCACCCTCACCACCACCACCCTCACCACCCTTACCACCACCACCGCCACCCTCACAATCGCCACCCTCACCACCACCACCGCCACCCTCACCACTCGGGTTTCTCACTGGCGCCGTGGCCGCTCGCACAGGTCTCGTTGCCATTCGCCTGCACCCATTCCCTGTTGCTGGGTTGTCGTTCACCCGCGCAGCCTTCGTTCCCGTACATTGAATTCATTCGTCATCGACATTTCGAGGACGTTCATTCTCTTACATTGTCATCATTCACGTATATTGAAATATTTATTTACACTGCAGGAGGAATCCGATGAGCTATAAAGCTCTTTTTCACAGATGTCCAGTCGGGGCACGGGGTAAGAACGTTACAACAACGGTGCACAAACACGATAGGAGTGCAAAGTACAGATCTGACAAACAAAACCACCCAAACACACAAGTAGAACTAAACCATCGCGAGCCTGCCAGGTAACCCCCACTGAGGTGTGAACTTCTTGACGAGACGCAGTTTGCCGTGGACACTGAGAGATTGAAAGAGAAGCAGCTACGCGGATTCGTGGACACGCACAGGTTCGAGACATCGTCGCAATCGATCTCCAATCCAGCAGTGGACCGCGACTGTGATGATTAACACCAAGCGACAGGGAGAGGAACACGCGGATAAGGGGACGCGGAGCAGTGTGGATGCAGCATCGCATTCCTCCGTTAAGAAAGGCGAGCGCGCTTGGGTTGGGTACGTAGCGGCTGGGGGAGATGGAGAGATTAAATCATTTCGCGTGCTGCTCGGTTGATTTGTTGCACCCCAGGGTCATTGAGAGTTGGCGGTAGTTCCGGGGAGGCCCTCATCTAGCAGTGGATTAACCATGGCTGATGTACTGTAGAAGAGAGATGCTTGGGGAGGCCCTCATCCAGCAGTGGATTAACCATGGCTGATGTACTGTAGAAGAGAGAGGCTTGGGGAGGAACTCATCCAGCAGTGGCTGATGCTTGATGAAATCGGCTCGTGTAAAGGTCGGTGTTGGGTGGATTCTATTATATCGCAGGATCGAGATCGGTGGTGGCGGTTTGCAAAAATCCTTCATCCGGCGGTGGATTTAACACGGCTGATGATGACGACCCTCCGCAGATGCAGCTACCGGAGAGGCGCACGTTCCCACGCCACCCCCAGTGCTAGTGGGCCGCTACCACCACCGCCACCACCGCCGTGTCGGTGATGAACGGACCGCAGGGGAATGCGTCGGTGGGGAGCGGGACGGGCGCCATGGGGCCCGTACTCTCCCCAATCACGGGCCCCGCCAGCAACCCTGCAGGCCGTCCCCACGGCTGCGAGAACGGCGCCCTCATGGACCAGTTTGGCGTGTTCATACAGGCCCTGCTGGCCCTGGTGGCCTTCAGCACGCTCATGCGTAAGTGGGCGCCGGTGGCGCGCCAGCCGCTCTTCGTGTTGCGTGCGGGGTGAGACCATCAACCTGGCTTAATCACAGCCCCATGCGCGAGTCTGTGGGTCTCGATATGAATCAGAATAAGAATCAGAGTCTCTATACTGCAGGAGGAGGAATCCCATGAGCGATGAAGCTCTTTTTCACAGATGTCCAACAGCGGCACAGGGTCAGATCGCTCCAACAACAAACGATACAAAAACAGGATAGGAGTGCACAGCATAGGAGAGGTAAGCAAATCACTTAAAAATATATAGAAATAGAAACGAAACTATGTTTAACTTACCAGGTAAAGCCCACTGAGCTATTAGCTTCTTTTCAGAAGCGACCTGTTGACAACATGATAGCTCAACGAAGTGGCATATCACATGTACATTTACAGCAGCCAACCAATCTAAATATCTCCAGTAATAACCCCAATTTACAAACTGCCACTCTAATAACTTTCGCCACAACGTGCTCAACTCATTGTTTGCCTCGCCATAGTGCACTTGAGTGTTTACAAAATTAACCATTAAGCCACTACTTGTTTTACATTCCACGGCGAACATTCAGTTGCCAATAGTCTCATGTGTACGCAATTCATATTTTTTATTCCGCCGCATACAGTGAGGGAAAAAACGTATTTGATCCCTTGCTGATTTTGTTCGTTTGCCCACTGACAAAGAAATTATCAGTCTATAATCTTAATGGTAGGTTTATTTGAACAGTGAGAGACAATAACAACAACAAAATCCAGAAAAACGCATGTCAAAAATGTTATAAATTAATTTGCATTTTAATGAGGGAAATAAGTATTTGACCCCTCTGCAAAACATGACTTAGTACTTGGTGGCAAAACCCTTGTTGGCAATCACAGAGGTCAGACGTTTCTTGTAGTTGGCCACCAGGTTTGCACCCATCTCAGGAGGGATTTTTCTTCTTGGTTCTTTCGGTAAAGTCACGTAGAAGGGAAGTAATAAAATAATAAAAATAAAACATAATAAAATAATTCTCACGACGTTTCGGCCACAACGCAAGCAGCCGTCCTCAGGTGAAAACCAGGTCTGTCGGGGAGACAGCGTCTGAATGAAACAGCACACGAGCTTGGAGCATATATATAAGCTGGGATGGGAGGGGGGGAAAGGGCGCTTCGACAAAAGAATTTGCATATCAAAATTAATTTAGCATATTTATGGGAAATGCAGGAATGTGATTAGTACTACATATGCCCGTGCATTATGCAGGATTAGCAGCATCAAAGGGAGGGGTAGCATTAATAAAGGGAAGGAGTGTTAATAGTATGTAGCTGCAGTAACTAAAACCAACACAAAACAACTAAAGTATAAACTACATAGTATCATCAGTATGCTAACTATACTCTACAATAAGCTGAGTTACTAACAGTAAGTAATGCATTACAATTCTACGTCGTAAAAATTATATAATATGCTTCCATCTAAACTTTATTCTCTTACATTACACGAGTCTACACCGTACTATATACTGCCATAAACAAACCCAACATTAAATTACATACTGTATTGTAATATAACACTATGTATTATTCTACCCACCCTAATGTATATCACACTGCTATATATTCACTATACAATTACGGTACTATATATTACTTTGAACATTGTATTAAGCATATAAATGTTATACTATTTGTTATTATACACTGTACCATTGACCGTCGTGTCAATGGGTGAGTAGTGGGATGAAACTTGCAGCGGAGCAAAGAATCCATTCCCTGCGGAGAATACAATGCCAGTGAGTGGAACGCAGTCTGAAAGTCACCGTAAACGTGAACACAATCAGTTAAGATCCGAAATGGTTTATTACGTCCTTCCAATGATTGCTAAGCCAGAATCCATCTTCTCGGTTGAAATTGTCTCCGTGTTTGTATATGTGGATCACCTCATGAACGAATCTCTCATGGTAGCCAGATGGCTTGCAGAGAACCTCTGTCTTGGAGAAGTCAATGTCATGTGAGCCCACTGAATTGTAACAGTGATCTGCCACGGCTGAGGTGTTTGTCCTACCGTGTTTCAAGTCTGCTTTATGTTCACGGATGCGGTCCGAGACATGTCGTTTGGTTTCTCCAATGTAACTGCTACCACAGAGGCAACTTAGTTTGTAGACGCCAGGGTACTGTATGTCTGGAACCATATATTTTACAGACGGGACCAGATCACGGATTTTGTCCCACTCTTTGCAGATCTTCTCCAAGTCATTAAGGTTTCGAGGCTGACGTTTGGCAACTCGAACCTTCAGCTCCCTCCACAGATTTTTTTATGGGATTAAGGTCTGGAGACTGGCTAGGCCACTCCAGGACCTTAATGTGCTTCTTCTTGAGCCACTCCTTTATTGCCTTGGCCATGTATGTTGGGTTATTGTCATGCTGGAATACCCATCCACGACCCATTTTCAATGCCCTGGCTGAGGGAAGGAGGTTCTCACCCAAGATTTGACGGTACATGGCCCCGTCCATCGTCCCTTTGATGCGGTGAAGTTGTCCTGTCCCCTTAGCAGAAAAACACCCCCAAAGCATAATGTTTCCACCTCCATGTTTGACGGTGGGGATGGTGTTCTTGGGGTCATAGGCAGCATTCCTCCTCCTCCAAACACGGCGAGTTGAGTTGATGCCAAAGAGCTCCATTTTGGTCTCATCTGACCACAGCACTCACCCAGTTGTCCTCTGAATCATTCAGATGTTAATTGGCAAACTTCAGACGGGCATGTATATGTGCTTTCTTGAGCAGGGGGACCTTGCTGGCGCTGCAGGATTTCAGTCCTTCACGGCATAGTGTGTTACCAACTGTCTCTCACTGTTCAAATAAACCTACCATTAAAATGATAGACTGACCATTTCTTTGTCAGTGCGCAAACGTACAAAATCAGCAGGGGATCAAATACTTGTTTCCCTCACTGTACATGATAAACAATTAATAGTAATACAAATAATAATATAATAGACACGGTAATAAATCTTAATATATCAATAATATACACTTACTTTTCAAAGTATAGATGCGCAATGAGCTGAGCATCCTCTGTTTTCGGTAAAAGGGAAATTTGTGAATTTGTGAAGATGTGTCTGTTCAAATTGTTTAGCATACTTCCCGACATGCAAAAAACTTCAAATTTGGCATGTGTGTAGCTTCCAGACTGTACACAATGCAAAAAGTATAAAAATAGACTTTTCTATTTTGGGGGGGGGGGGGGGGAGGTGCAATAATGGATATATTTTGCACGGCAAGTGAGCGGTGACGTCACATCTGTGATGTCACCCACATGCGGCAGCGTTACGCAGTGTCTCTGCTGACGTCACGCAACCCCCCCCTACCCTCCGCGTAGGCCGTGTATTAATCCAAGACAAGAATCCAAGTCTCGGGCAAAGCCGGGTAGTAAAGCTAGTTCATAATAAAGGTTTTTGGGTAAGATCGCGTTATTATAAATGTGTCGCAACCCTCCACCACCCGACACTGCAAATCAGTTAAAAATGTGTCACGTTAACAAAACGCCAATTAGTTACTTGTTCAGCCCACCGGTGTGTTTGATAAATGAATCCACAAAATTTAGAATTTGTGCATCTCTGTCTGAGCTACCGGTGACAGGCATGAGACCATCCACTCCGCTACACTTTAGAACCTGGTTTGATCACAAATTTGGTCTACGTGTGAAGCTGTGGGTCTACTTGTTAGTCTGTGGGTCTACGTGTGAGTCTGTGGTTCTCTGTGTGAGTCTTAGTGAGTCTTTGAGAACCCGGTGTAATCACCGCTGTTGGGCAAATCATGCAAACCCGGATTGGAACCCAGGATCTCAGCGGTGCCGGGTCAGTGTCTCTGAACTTTGCTCTACAACAACAAACTTTCTGAGAACCCGATTTACCGGTCTCTACAGAATCTGGCACGGAGCATCATGAGTGTTGTTAGTGCTCTATATTTGAAAACAAAGGTTATTTTGTGTTTTTAGTAATTGGTGTTTAACGATGCAGTTCTAAGCTAATAAGGGTGAATATCAGGATGGGTGAGCACTAGGTCTTGCCTGCTGTTGTTAGGCGTAGGGCTGTAAGGTGTGGCCACGAAAGGCCATACCTCCCAATAGCTTCCTCGTATTGAAAAGAAGAGCGTTCCAGACGGCCGCAGAAGCACATATAAAAGGACGCGATGCAGTGCCCATCTTTGTTCGATGGCCAGCCAGAAGCCGGCGGCGATGTCTATGTTTATACTGTGTGATGGAGCCATAGTGCACCCCCAATGACAGCTGTCTCTGTGCATTATTCTGATAGTAAGGGGGCAATGTTGCTCTGGGTGATCCCAGTTGAGAAATGTTGCGGTGTCATCCTTCACATTATGCCACCGTAGACGCTGGTGCACAGCGGCCACTGCGAGTGAAGCAGGACGGCGTGCGTGCCCGTGTCTGTGTGTGGTTAATGTGCTGATAACCAGGGCGGCACGCTGGGACACATCACCATCCCTGTGTGGAGCTCCTGTGCACGTGTGTGTTTGTGTGTGGTTTGAGTACCTCTGTAAACATCGCCACTAGGGAGACAAAGGGAGTGGTGCTTGCCACCCACCCCCTTGTGTTCCGTGTCAGCATTCATAGGTTCCTACTAGGTGTTCGCTAACAGCACTTGCCCCAACAGTCTGTTAAGGCAACACGGGGGATCTTGGTCTTTGTGTGTATGTACAGTGGGGAGCGGTGGTTTGCGCTGCGCTGCGCTACGAACCTGGCGACCTGAGTTTGGTTTCCGCTCGCGGCCAACACCAGTGACGAATATCTGAACCGGTCCTGGGCCTCCCCCAGGTCGACTTGGCGTCAAATGAGTACCTGGCACGCTGTATTAGCATCTCCACCGAGGAGACAAAGGCAGTCGGGCGTGATGCTGGCCACATGATCTCATAGGTGCGCTGTGCCAGCCTTCACAGGTCCTCGCGAACAGCACTTGCCCAAGCAGCCTGCGTAGGCTACACGAGGGATCTTTGTCTTTGTGTACGGTCCGTGGGCCGAATGGATGAATGCAGTGTAACACCCCTGTTGAGAATATCCAAGCCAATCTACTCAGCCCATCTCGTCTGATGTGTCATTCCTGTTATTCATAATGAGGAAATGTCAGAATCAGAATATTTATTCATGCTGGAGGAATTCGATGAGCTATAAAGCTCTTGTTTCACAGATGTCCAGTATAAATGTTGTTTATTAATCTCGGGTGGAGCGGTGGCGCAGTGGTTAGTGCAGTGTGCCATGAACCCGTGTGAGCCAATTTTGATTCTTGGGCATGGCTGATAGTCATCGGTGGTGAGCGATATCTGAACCAGTCCCGGGCCTCGTCCATGCGAGTAGCTGGTATGGTGCGCAAACACTAGCAATGGAGAGACAAAGGTCGCCGGGTAGGCGTGGTGCCGGGCATGCAACCCGCCGGCCTGGATAGGTGTTTCTCGCTAACAGCACTTGCCCCAATAGTCTTATTTAGTCTGTGTGGGGGATCTTTGTCTTTACCTCTGTCTTGTGTCACAGTGAAGCGATTTCGAGAGCCATGTGGGGAGAGGAGGCCCTGGAGGATCTGGTGAGTTCACAACATTTACATCACAGCATCTACGTTACAGCGTCTACATCATCCCTGCTGGATCACAGTGTGATCATGAGCCATCGGTTCTTCATAATATTCACTTGCAATGGCGTTTTTTACTTAATATGTCTTTGTCTGTTTACATATGAGTATCATAGTGACTGTAGACCTACACTGCCATTAGACTTACATTGCCCATAGACATATATTGATCATAGACTTATATCGCACGTAGACTTGCATCGGCCGTAGCCTAACATCACCCATAAACTAACACATGCTTGTCAACCCATACGGTTTATCTGTATTCTTGTACAGGCAAATTGAGTTTTCAGGTCCATACGGCGTACGGCCGTTTCAATACGTGTGAAGTATGGGAATTGACGGCAGGAACTTCTTGACGGGAACACACTTTTATTAAATCTTTACGTATCAAAATACAACGTGTAGTCTCCTTTCTTCCGACTTCACACTCCACTACTCTCGTGTAAACTCTAGGCCTCTGGCTACACACGATACCCTTCACTCGTGTAGACCCTACGCCTCTGGCTACACAATACACTCGACTCGTGTAGACCCTATGTCCCTGGCTACACAATACACTCGACTCGTGTAGACCCTATGTCCCTGGCTACACAATACACTGCATTCGGCTCGTGTAGACCTTACGCCTATGGCTACACACACTACACTCGCCTCTGGGTTACACAGAGTCCCGGTCCCGTTAGGACAGCGGGACTAGGTACCGCAGGGCCCTAGGTCTTCATCCCCGTCTTCATTCTTCGCTGGTTACACACTGCCCTCACGCCTGTGTGCATCCCCTTTTATAGCCCCTGCTCACGAGAGGCGGAGCTGATGCGTACTTCAACGTGAGCATCGCTCCTTAATGAACCAATCACGACGCACTCTCTCTACGATCCGTTTTCCCCAGCGCGTGTTAACACTCCTCCACCAATCACACCGCGCTGCCACCCGATCACTCCCTCTCAGCACGTCACCCGTCCACAGCCAATCAGTACCCCGTAACCCACGACCCCGCGCTGACCCCTGATCCTCCACCGTCAGCGCACGTCACCACCTACACAGCCAATCATTACGCGCTGGCATACGATCTCTAATCCCAGCGCGTATCACCTCTACACGTGCAACAACAAAAACGTTGTTTTGTCTATTTCTTTGTGTTTCTCTCCTTGTGATGTTATTTTGTAGGATGAACGTTGAAATTTATAAGGGCACGGGGTGACTAATAAGGTCTGAATTGGTCTGTAATAAGGTAGGCACTGATAAGGGGTTGACGGGTACGCTCACATCACCCATAAACTAGCATTGCCCACTTAACTTGACTAGTATGTGATAATTGGTTCTTTACCCTTCTATCTGGCAACAAAACTGACACCTTTTTGCAAGGAGTCATGTTTGCATAGACCGCAATACCTGCAGTCATAAATACAAACAAAAGACATAACTCTGATAATGTGCACTGTCCTTGAAGTTGATTGGTCCACACCCGAGACAGCTTTCCTTCGAGCCTAGTCTCATATGGGTTGGACCAGATGACGCCAAAAGGCGCACAACTCAAGGACAATGCACCATCAGAGTATGAGAGCTCGGGGCAAGCATCTACACTATGGGGACCTCATTTGCCAGTAAAAATATGATAATTGGTTCTTTACCCTTCTATCTGGCAACAAAACTGACACCTTTTTGCAAGGAGTCATGTTTGCATAGACCGCAATACCTGCAGTCATAAATACAAACAAAAGACATAACTCTGATAATGTGCACTGTCCTTGAAGTTGATTGGTCCACACCCGGGTGTGGACCAATCAACTTCAAGGACAGTGCACATTATCAGAGTTATGTCTTTTGTTTGTATTTATGACTGCAGGTATTGCGGTCTATGCAAACATGACTCCTTGCAAAAAGGTGTCAGTTTTGTTGCCAGATAGAAGGGTAAAGAACCAATTATCATATTTTTACTGGCAAATGAGGTCCCCATAGTGTAGATGCTTGCCCCGAGCTCTCATACTCTGATGGTGCATTGTCCTTGAGTTGTGCGCCTTTTGGCGTCATCTGGTCCAACCCATATGAGACTAGGCTCGAAGGAAAGCTGTCTCGGGTGTGGACCAATCAACTTCAAGGACAGTGCACATTATCAGAGTTATGTCTTTTGTTTGTATTTATGACTGCAGGTATTGCGGTCTATGCAAACATGACTCCTTGCAAAAAGGTGTCAGTTTTGTTGCCAGATAGAAGGGTAAAGAACCAATTATCATATTTTTACTGGCAAATGAGGTCCCCACATTGACTAGTATGTCCTTGTCAGTTTACATATTAGCGCAATAGTCACCGTATACCTGTTGACTGTTTCTCAAACTTAAGTTGTGTAATTGTACGACGATGAGTCGGGAATAATCTGCCCGAGGCAGTTGATTATCTAACTTTGATTTGCGTTTGTGTAATACCCTTGCTGTCTCGCGTGATTACGCGACTGTTCGCGTCGCTTTCTTTTTTGCTTTTCGGCATTTCCGTGACCCAGGTCACCCTCGCGAATAAGACTTCTGTGCTGGTCTCTTGACTTCTCACCCCCGGTTCAACAAAATTAACTTGAGACTTGAGTGATACCTCATAGCCGACGGATTTTTACTGAAACTGATATTGTACACACAATAAAGACCAGACGAAGATTGTACACAAGATAAAGACCAGAAGAAAGCACGAAGAATAACCCAAAACCCCAGCCTATTGATGGTTTCATAAAACTTGACCAGGTCAATAAAGCAGAGATGTAGGTCCTGTTGAAATTCCCTACACCTCTGCTATATGCACACTCACACACCCGCCGCACTCTGTCGAAAAGGCGGATAACATACAAACTCCACAAACATTGGCCTGCCCTGCCGGTCCCTTGGGCTATTTTTCTTTCTGTCCATCTGCTCGTCTTAACGGTCTATTCGTCTCCTCATGTGTCCTTCGCTGTTTCCAGGCTTTACGACACTTCCAAGCAAATCTTCGGGCAGCTCTTCATCCACTTTGCCAACGTGTACCTATCGGAGCTCACCGAGGAGGACCCCTGCTCCCTGTACGTCAATCTCTGTCCGTCCATCTGTCCGTCCGTAGCACGGAAGGCATGATAGCTCTCGTGGAGTTGATCGAATGTGAAGGAAATGTTTGTGTAAAGTCGTGTTGCTGCTGCTGTTAGGGACTCGCCTCAGAGAAAACTGGAACACAGGGAGCACAGGGATCAGTGCCAAAAACTCATCGATAAAACCCGGATCATATACGAACCAGTTCTGTGCCTCTCGTAGGTGGACACAGACTTAAATGAGTGCCTGGCGGTGTGGTGTGTAAACATCACCGCTGGGGAGACAGAGGCGGCCGGGTGTGGTGCTAGCGGGGTACCCCTTCTGTTCGGGCGAATGTAGGATCTTTGTCTTGCTGTGTATGAATGCCGAGTGCCGGGAAGCTAAAATGCGGCAGCTTTGCATGGTGGGAAGTTCGCGTGGTGCATCTCTTACGTCATTTTCCTCAAAGTGCGCTTAGCCTGGCACAAGTGCCGTGGTGACGGCACCGTCACATGGTGATGAATGACAGCTTTTCCAACATCGCATCACCCCCGTTTGCATCTGGCCCGCGGTTGGCACTCAATAATAATGATTGAGTCCATGGGCGCCTGGTATACAGCATATCGTGGGTTCAACCCCGACCCTGACGCCTGCTGTATATTTGGAGTCTGCATGTCTCTCTGCACATGATTGTGTGAATTTTTCTCCGGGTCCTCCCGTTTTTCCCTCCACATTTAAATACATGTGTTTAGAGTATTTGCCCTCTATATACTTCTACACGATAAGCCACTTCGTTGAGCTATGATTTGTGGCCGGGTCGCTTCTGAAAAATAGATATACAGCTCAATGGGCCTTACCCAGAAAATTTTTAATAGTTTATAGTTTGTATTATTATACTAAGCTAGTTTATTAATACACTGTTAATAATTTAATGTGGCGTGGGCAATATTCTCATAGTGCAGGGCGACCATCACGAATGAAGGCATTGCTGCTATGCGGACGTTTCACAGCAGGGGACGATGTTTTTGCGTAGTCTAGCCTTGGGGCACCCCCACTAGCAGCTGTCCCTTTGAATTAATCTGCCAGTAGGGGGCAGTGCTGCTCTGTGGTCTAGCCTAGGGGCACCCCAGTGGCAGCTGTCTGTGCATTCGTCAGTAGGGAAATGTGCAGTGCACATTTCAAATTTGGCAAGTTTAAACTGTGAAGTTTGTATCTATGTTGAACTTCATTCGCACCATACATAGCCTATCGTGCCAGTCGTGCCAATCCGAATTTTTAATAGTTTATTAAACTAGTTTATGAATATAAGTTTTTAATACTTGAATAAACTCGTTTAATAAACTAAAAACTTTTTTATTTTACTAGGCAAGGCCCACTAAGCTACATAGCACTTTTTAAAAAGCTATCATAAGTGATAGATCTAAAACGAAGTGGCAGCTTATCACCATCACGTGGGGGTGGTGCTGGACACGATGGTATACCGTGACACGTGATGCCGCAGGTACCTCATTAACTTCCTGCTGGACGCCACGCTGGGCATGGTGCTCATCTGGCTGGGCATCAAGGCGGCGTCGCGTCTTGTGGAGTGGCGGCAGTGGGAGTCGCTGCGCTTCGGGGAGTACGGTGAGTGCCTCGGGGGTGCGGTAACAAACCCCCCGCCGGGTTGAGAGATGGAATAATGAGACAGAGACTCCTCTACTTACAAACAGGTTAGGTTCCAAAGGTCTGTTTGTAATTCGATTTGTCCGCAAGTCCAACTTTACTACTGTCAATTCCAAACACGTATGGCGTCTACACTAAGTACGGGGAATGGCTTTAAAAGGTGTATAATCTCTTGTAGACGTGGATGCTACTGGTTCTTCACGTTCTGTAGATGCCACTGGTTCTTCACGTTCTGCAGATGTCGATGCCACTGGTTCTTCACGTTCTGTAGATGCCACTGGTTCTTCACGTTCTGTAGATGTAGATGCTGCTGGTTCTTCACGTTCTGTAGATTTAAATGCCACTGGTTCTTCACGTTCTGCAGATGTAAATGCCACCGCAGCCATCTATTGCGTGGTGGTTGAACTTAGGACTTCCGGTTCGAACAAGCAACTGGACGTACGGACAGGTTTGTTCGTATCTCTGAAAGTTCGTAAATCGAATGTTCATAAGTAGAAGAGTCCCTGTAATGAGAATAATTTACATTTATGAGGCACAATTTATCTGGGGATTTCAATGTGCGTTTAGAAAAATGTAAGATGTCCCTAGGGTAATGTGCGGCCGTATAATGATGTTGTTAGTCTTTGCTGTAGACCTGTGCTGCAAAATGTCACACGGTGCGGCTGTCAGGCTGCTCCGGTTAATGCTGCAATGTATGTTCGCCATACTACTACGACTACTACCACGTGCTGTCTGCCTCACAGGGGACTGAAAATAAAATAAAAACCACGACGTTTCAATCCCAACACAAACGATCGCTTGTGTTGTCTACATTATAGACTGCCAGTCCGCTCATTCAGTTTAATAACCATTGCTACAGTCTACATTATAGACTGCCAGTACACTCACAGGTTAAGAACCAGGCTACAGTCTACATTATAGTTTGCCAGTATGCTCACTCAGTTGAATAACCATTGCTACAGTCGACATAGACTGCCAATACGCTCACCACGCTTAAAAACCAGGCAACAGTCTATATTACAGACTTCCAGGACGCTCACCGAGGTTAAGAACCAGGCTACAGTCTAGATTATAGACTGCCAGTACACTCACTCCAATTAAGAACCAGGCTGCAGTCTACATTAGTGTGTTTTTTATATTATACTAGCGGAAGTACCCGGCTTTGCCCGGGTGAAAAATATCTTTCTTAAAAACCTTACATATATATACACAGATACTAAGGTATTGTCAAAGCCCGGTGGGCTGTTTGTACATTTTTCCACCAACAAATATATAAGAGGCTTTCACAAGTCCAAAAAGTTGTAGAAAGTGTGGGGTAAATAGTTGATGTCAAAATGTTTCCGAAAATTGTGGTCTCCCCCCCCCCTCAAAAATATATATTTACCCCTCGTAGGTATATATACTAACAACACCTTACATACAACAGAGGAAGTGGTATCTATTGACTCTGTAGTAGTATCTACTGACTGTACCGTAGTATCTACTGAGCCAGTAGTAGCTACTGACTGTGTAGTAGTATTTAGTGACTGTAATAACTACTGACCATAGTAGTATTTACTGGGCCTACAGTAGTATCTACCGACTATATACTCGTAACGACTAACTGTATAGTATCTGCTGACTCTATAGTTGTATCCACTGACTATAGTAGTAACTACAAAATCTATAGCAGTATCTACTCACTCTATAATAGTATCTACTGACTCTAGTAGCTACTCACCGTAGCAATATGTACTGACTGTATCTATATATATATAAAATCGCGAATCTGTCTGTCTGTCTGTGTGTGTGTGTGTGTGTCGCCGGACCATACGCACTTTCATTGGACGCCGGTTGCCCCTGGCAACGGCTAGCGACGCCTTCGCCGCTTTCATTGGACGGCGGTTGCCCCTGGCAACGGCTAGCGACGCCTTCGCCGCGGCCTGCAGTTTCATTGGACGGCGGTTGCCCCTGCCAACGGGTAGCCACGCCTTCGCCGCTTTCATTGGACGGCGGTTGCCCCTGCCAACGGGTAGCCACGCCTTCGCCGCTTTCATTGGACGGCGGTTGCCCCTGCCAACGCTTTATTATTTCAGTCGTTTACTGCCGTACGCACCCTGAAAGTCGTGTGTGTCTGCAGCAAGCGCGTGTATGTGTACCTATGGACGCGCGCGCGTGTGTTGTGTAGGGGGAATGGTAGTGTAGTGCTTAGCGTGCTGTCTGTGTCTGTGTGTGTGTGTCTTTGTGTGTGTGTGTCTGTGTGTGTGTCTCTGTGTGTGTGCGTGTGTGGTGTGTGGGGAGCGGTAGTGTAGTGCTTAGCGTGCTTTCTGTGTGTCTGTGTGTGTGTGTGTCTGTCTGTGTCTGTCTGTGTGTGTCTGCGTGTGTCTATGTGTGTGTGTCTGTGTGTGTGTCTGTGCGTGTGTGGTGTGTGAGGAGCGGTGGGTGTAGTGGTTAACGCTACGCTGCGCTACAAATCCGGCGAACCGAGTTCGATTCCCGCTCATGGCCACCACACGTGACGATTATTTGAACCTCCCCTAGGTCGACTCAGCCTCAAACGAGTAACTGGTGTGGCGTATTAACATCGCCACTGGGGAGACAAAGGCGGCCGGGCGTGAGTGGTGAGGGAGGGAGAGCGGTGAGGGAGGGAGAGCGGTGAGGGAGGGAGAGCGGTGAGGGAGGGAGAGCGGTGAGGGAGGGAGAGCGGTGAGGGAGGGAGAGCGGTGAGGGAGGGAGAGCGGTGAGGGAGGGAGAGCGGTGAGGGAGGGAGAGCGGTGAGGGAGGGAGAGCGGTGAGGGAGGGAGAGCGGTGAGGGAGGGAGAGCGGTGAGGGAGGGAGAGCGGTGAGGGAGGGAGAGCGGTGAGGGAGGGAGAGCGGTCAGGGAGGGACTCAGCCTCAAAACGAGTCACTGCTGTGGCGTATGAACATCGCCACTGGGGAGACAAAGGCGGCCTAGCGTCGTGGATCCAAGACCCGGGCGAAGCCGGGTAGTAAAGCTAGTAGTAGTATATACTGACTGTAGCAGTATTGACTGACTGTAGTGGTATATACTGACTGTTTTAGTATTTACTATAGCGGTATCTACCAACTCGATAGCAGTATCTACTATCGCTACAGCAGTGTATACCGACTGAGGTCGTACCTGCTATCAATACAGCAGTGCATACTGCTGTGTTGGTACCTGTTATGATGACAGCAGTGCATATTGTGGTGGAACCTGCTATGATTACAGCAGTGCATACTGCTGTGGTGATATCTGCTATGATGAGAGGAGTACATATTGTGGTGGTGGTACCTGGTATGATAACAGCAGTGCATATTGACTGTACTCATCATTCACCCTCACCATTCACCACTCACAACTCACCCTTACCACTCATCCTCACCACTCACCACTCCCACTCACTATTCACCATTCACCCTCACAACTCACCACTCACCAACCTCCCTCACCAATCTCCCTCACCCTCACCACTCACCCTCACCACTCACCAATCACCACTCACCACTCACTCTCACCACGAACCCTCACCACTCTCACTCACCACTCTCCCTCACCACTCACTCTCACCATTCACCCTCACCATTCAGCCTCACCACTCACCCTCACCACTCACCCTCACCACTCACCCTCACCACTCACCGTCACAACCACCACTCACCCTCACCACTCAACTTCACCCTCACTACTCACCATTCATCCTCACCAATCACCACTGACCAATCACCACTCACCACTCTCCACTAACCCTCACCGCTCAACCTCACCACTCACCCTCAAAACTAACCACTCTCACCACTCACCCTCACCACTCAGCACTCACCCTCACCACTCACCCTCACCGCTCACCTCTCACCGCTCACCACTCACCCATCACCACTCACAACCGCCACTCACCCTCACCACTCATCCTCACCACTCACCCTCACAACAACCACTCACCCTCACCACTCACCCTGACCACTCATCCTCACCAATCACACCCTCACCAATCACCACTCACCCGCACTGCTCACCCTCACCACTCACGCTCACCCTCACCACTCACCCCTCACTAATCACCACTCATAACCGCCACTCACCCTCAACACTCACCCTCACCACTCACCGTCACCACTCACCCTCACTACTCACCACTCATCCTCACCAATCACACCCTCAACAATCACCACTCACCCTCACCACTCACTCTCACCACTCACCACTCACCCCTCACAACAACCACTCACCCTCACCGCTCAGCACTCACCCTCACCAATCACCACTCACCCTGACCACTCACCACTCATCCTCACCAATCACATCCTCACCAATCACCACTCACCCTCACTGCTCACCCTCACCGCTCACCCTCACCACTCACCCTCACCACTCACGCTCACCCTCACCACTCACCCCTCACTAATCACCACTCACAACCGCCACTCACCCTCACCACTAACCCTCACCACTCACCCTCACCACTCGCTAATCACCTCTCACAACCGTCACTCACCCTCACCACTCACTCTTACCACTCACCCTCACCACGCACCCTCACAACAACCACTCACCCTCACAACAACCACTCACCCTCACTACTCACCCTCACCACTCATCCTCACCAATCACACCCTCACCAATCACCACTCACCCTCACTGCTCACCACTCAACCTCACCACTCACGCACACCCTCACCATTCATCCCTCACTAATCACCACTAACAACCGCCACTCACCCTCCCCACTCACCCTCACCACTCACCCTCACCACTCACCACTCACCCTCACCACTCACTACTCACCCTCACCACTCTCCCTCACCACTCTCCCTCACCACTCTCCCTCACCACTCTCCCTCACCACTCTCCCTCACCACTCTCCCTCACCACTCACGCTCACCACTCACGCTCACCACTCACCTTAACCACTCACCACTCACCCTCAACACTCACCCTCACCGCTCACCACTCACCCTCACCACTCACCCTGACCACTCACCACTCATCCTCACCAATCACACCCTCACCAATCACCACTCACCCTCACTGCTCACCCTCACTGCTCACCCTCACCACTCACCCTAACCACTCACGCTCACCCTCACCACTCACCCCTCACTAATCACCACTCACAACCGCCACTCACCCTCACCACTCACCACTCACCCTCACCACTCACCCTCACTACTCACCACTCATCCTCACCAATCACACCCTCAACAATCACCACTCACCCTCACCACTCACGCTCAACACTCACCCTCACCACTCACCCTCACCACTCACCCTCACCAATCACCACTCACCCTCACCACTCACTACTCACCCTCACCACTCTCCCTCACCACTCTCCCTCACCACTCTCCCTCACCACTCTCCCTCACCACTCTCCCTCACCACTCTCCCTCACCACTCACGCTCACCACTCACGCTCACCACTCACCTTAACCACTCACCACTCACCCTCAACACTCACCCTCACCGCTCACCACTCACCCTCACCACTCACCCTGACCACTCACCACTCATCCTCACCAATCACACCCTCACCAATCACCACTCACCCTCACTGCTCACCCTCACTGCTCACCCTCACCACTCACCCTAACCACTCACGCTCACCCTCACCACTCACCCCTCACTAATCACCACTCACAACCGCCACTCACCCTCACCACTCACCACTCACCCTCACCACTCACCCTCACTACTCACCACTCATCCTCACCAATCACACCCTCAACAATCACCACTCACCCTCACCACTCACGCTCAACACTCACCCTCACCACTCATGCTCACCACTAACCCTCACCACTCACCCCTCACTAATCACCACTAACAACCGCCACTCACCCTCCCCACTCACCCTCACCAATCACCACTCACCCTCACCACTCAACCTCACCCTCACCACTCACCCACACCACCACCACTCTCCCCCTCACCACTCTCCCCCTCACCACTCTCCCCCTCACCACTCTCCCCCTCACCACTCTCCCCCTCACCACTCTCCCCCTCACCACTCTCCCCCTCACCACTCTCCCCCTCACCACTCTCCCCCTCACCACTCTCCCCCTCACCACTCTCCCCCTCACCACTCTCCCCCTCACCACTCTCTCCCTCACCACTCTCCCCCTCACCACTCTCCCCCTCACCACTCTCTCCCTCACCACTCTCCCCCTCACCACTCTCTCCCTCACCACTCTCTCCCTCACCACATGTTAAGGGCGATCCTAAAGGAATCTACAACCTTCGATGATTCCTTTGCGCGATTCAAAGAATCGATTCCTGGCGCATAGGAGGTTTCCATTTTTAATTACAGAGTTTTATTTTCATTGTTATGTTATGTTTTAAAGTTTTCAGGAGTTTTTAATTATATTTTAGCCCCGGTCAACGCCGGATATTTCCCATTCGTAGCAGTTTATATCAACTCTATAACCAACTAATATTAAACGGAAATAAGGCGATTCTAAATGAATCTACAACCTTCGATTCCTTTTCGCGATTCAGAGAATCGATTCTTGGCGCGGTCGGGTTTAGAGTTTTAAAGTAATTACACAGTTGTATTTTCATTGGGATGTTATGTTTTAAAGTTTTCAGAAGATTTTAAATGTTTTTTTCCCCCGGGCAACGCTGGGTATATCGAGTTTATACCACAAAGTCGACGCCTGACAGACTTGCGTGTCGAGGCCTAATACCGTGCAGAGCCTCCGGCCTCGCCTAGATTGCCCACCCGGCTGAGGGTGGGTACTGGGGCCGTTACGCCCCCCCCCCCCCCCCGCGCTACAATAATACTGTCTAATCGCTATAATTTTATTATCTACCGACCCTATAATAGTAATTGCACACATTGGGTTGGAAGGGGAGTGAAGAGGACGTGAAACTTTGATGAATTTACCTCAGAGTCGCGTGTTAATGCGTGCGCATATTTGTAACGGGAATTAAAAATGGCGTCCACCCCGCAGCGAAGTTGTTACTATCCGTTGCCAGGGGCAACCGCCGTGGTCCGCGCCAGCCGGCAATAATAAATAAATAAATAATTATATAACTAAATAAAGAGATAATCGGTCCGATTTAAAGTTTAGAGACGAAAAATCGGAAATGCCTAAGTTTACCGCGGGCCGGGGGCGTGCCCACCTGCAAAATTTAATCTCGGCGAACCCCACGGTCCGAGAGCTAAATCCCCCGGAAGGGAGCGTACGCAGACGGACAAACAGACAGACAGACATACAGACAAAAAATGAATTATATAGGTTAGATTTGTATTCACTTTATTTTTATTATTTTATATATATGTGACTTTACTTAAAGAACCAAAGAATATGAATTCCTGCAGTCATGAAAGTTGGCACATTGCTCAATTTGGATTACACACAGCCGGCAGACTAATGCCCAATATCACTTGCGAATGAGACCCATCCCGGGGGTCACTTGGATTCTCACCACCTGGTTCAAGCAAAATTTAAGGCGGAAAGTTGGTTCAGCGTGGTTGCCACAGGTTGATGCGGTTCCAGTGTTTGCACAGAAGGTGGTGGCGTACGACCATAGATAGTAAACAGAGACTCAATGGAGCAAAATCATTGACAAACTAAGCTCCTGTAAAGACATCCTATTTGACAGGGATGGTCAGACGTAAAAGTTTCGTTACGGTTCGGGTTTAACCAGGTGAGAAGTGAAGAGACCAGGATGAGATTAATCAGTGAGCATCACCTGGGTGACCAAAATGACAAATGCAAAACAAAGTTCAGAATTCCATAATAGAGGTTTATTTGGGTTAGATTACGTAAATATTAATTTACTTAAACCTGACACCACGCTACATAGCCAATTAGTAAGGTTTGTTATGTAAACAAAACATGAAATTCGTTCAATCTAGATTTGAAGTTTTCGTGACTGCAGGGATCCATACTCTTTGGTTCTTTCAGTAAAATCACATGGGTATAAAATATATTAAATCACGACGTTTCGGGCGCAACACAAGCGTCCGTCATCAGGTGGGACAACCGCAGCAAGAAACAATTGCTGAAGTGGGCAAAAGGGCTGCTGCAACAAGAGCCTATAAGGTGTTGCCTTCATTTCGGCATCTCTTGTTGCTTCAGCTTCCCCCCCCCCCCCCGCATTTTGTTCTGTTGCTTCAGCTCCCTACTCCCAGCCCCGCCCACTTTCCTTCCCCCCAGAATTCTGTCTGCTCGTCCTCTAAACGTTTTCGCAGCACCCCACCCCCTCTCTATCTCTCCCCCCCTTGCTCCTCCCCACTCTCTTACCTATATAGCCTCTTGTTGCAGCAGCCCTTTTGCCCACTTCAGCAATTGTTTCTTGCTGTGGTTGTCCCACCTGATGACTGACGCTTGTGTTGCGCCCGAAACGTCGTGATTTCATTTATTTTATTTTATACCTACGTGACTTTACCGAAAGAACCAAAAAGTATGCAATTCGTTGTTTTGTACAATTTATTACTAGTACTAGTAACGAATTTGCATGTTTTATTTACGTGACAAACCTTACTAATTGGTTGTATTGGGTGGTGGCGGGTTTAAGAACATATTTACGCGATCTAACACCAAATAACTTTTCATGGATAATAATCGTTGCGAAAGCCGAATGTTACTACTATGTGTTAAACAAAGTGCAGCAATGAAGTGAAATAGAAATTGGAGCTAAAGCAACCATGCTGCAGAAGACATTGCAATGCTGTGGCCCGAAACCGAAAATCAATATTAAAACGAAACAAATGTCCTGGAATGAAAGTCGGCTTGGGCCGAGTAAAGAATTGCATTTTGGTTCGAGAAATGGTGAGAGGGGCATTTCGGCAATTCGTTTTCCCGGCAGTAATGCTTACGGCAATTTGAGGCGGTCACCATGACGGACAATGCCACCGTAGTTTCCTAAACGACACAGTCCACGGTAGTTTCAAACAGTCCACGGTAGTTTAACATTCAGGGGTTACATGGCGGTGTGGTGTTTTGTGCAAGTGAATAATTTTGCAAACGATTTAGACTTTTTTTGTGAAAAATTTGGGACCGCGATTCGGAGCGATTGCACGAACAACCAAACTCTCCTCATGGCTTTGGCGATTCGCGACTCAGCCAATGCCGCCCCACCGCCAGCGGGGGTAAGTGCGCAGGGTGGTAGAGAGCAGGCGGGTGCCCGTGTAACCCCTTCCCCCACCCTCGCCCCCAGGGGAGCCGCCCAGGTGTTGCGCGTGGGTGGGGCAGTGCGGCGTGTACCTGCTCGTGGTGGCTTGCGAGAAGACCATCACCTTCCTTGTCATCCTCATCCCCTTCTGGAAGAAGGTCAGAGAGCGTCAGTCTCGTTTGAGATCGCTTGCACACACACTGTAAACACAGTGGTAGATACGTACGGCGTACAGATGTCTTGGCGGTACACCATTGTAGCATAACACACCGGTCCTCATAAAACAATCCGTGATCAAAATTTGAACTTCCGACTGGTTTGACATCATGAAAACTGATTTTTACACACCCTGCAAGATTTTCTGACCTTGATTGCGAATCGCCAATGCGTTCATATAAACACACACAGTCGATACACACACAAACACATGGTAGATACGTACACACAGATACACATACACACACAGTCGCGGTGACATCACCACAGCGCTTGTGCCAGGCGATGTGCACATTAAGCTCACATGAAGTGTCGAACGCCCGCTGGCAGGAGGTCACGGGACAGACTCGGGTGCCATGGGTCAACTTATTGAGATAACTGGCCGATGCACCACCTGTGCCAACTTGCTGTATTTTCACCACCCGGCGCTCCGCTCGTTGTCGTGCGCATCGCTCCTCTGCCCTCCGTTGTTACTGGAGGGTGACTGACTCCAACTGCCCAGTAGTGTCCTTCCCGAGCCTCCTCCACAGAGGCCGATCTTGACACCGCTGGTACCAGTCATCGGCAAGTCCACTCAGCTCCACATCCTCTTGTACCACATCACTCCATCTCTTCTCTAGCCCGTGCCGCGCCCGTTTCGCCCCCTATATTCGGCCGAACAAAACCTGTTTAGGCATGCGGTGGCTGGGCATCTAGGCGACATGAACCTCATGGCGGTACTCCGGGGTACCATAGTACCCCGGATCTCGCATAATGTCCGTGATGCAGTCATTTTTAGTCTGTTGATGGTCGGCTATGCGGAAATCAGCTCATCTCGATGAGCTGTATATGATGTACCACGATGGTGCGTACGAGCGGTCAAGGTTTCATCGCAATCGTCCTCGTTGCATTTCGACATCGCGGAGTAGCACTGATTTCGGATTTATTGGTACCCCAAACGCGGAGTTAAGTACACCCCTGGAAAATATAGTGTCCCAGAAATAAAATATTTAATTGCCTCGGCCATTTTGTATTATTTGGTACCCCGGGGTACCGCCAGTAGGATCACATGACCCAGCCAACAGCCTTGCTTGCTAGAGAAGCTCACCGATGGGACTTTGTCCAGATCTTTCAAGGATTTATGAGCTCTTTATACAATCCAGCCTGGTTAAACCCCCGATAGAGCATAGGCAGGCCAGCCTAAATGTTTCTATCTGGTGAAGATGTTCCATTTGGGGGGTCCAGTTTCACAAGCATAGAGAAGGGAGGGCATGACTATGGCCGAGAAGACCCGAAGCTTCGTGTGGAGTGACAGACAAAGTAGCTTCCACACAGCGTTACACAGCTGATGAGAAAACAATGCCGCGCGACTGATTCGTAGTAAGACCTCGACTGCCCAATTGGAGCTGGTCATAAGCACCCTGCCCAGGTACGGAAACTTCTCCACTCTCTCCGCAACTTCCCCATCACTCATGGGGAGTTGAGGGAGTTGAGGGAGTTGAGGGAATTGAGTGTTTGATGACACAAATACACAGGTAGGTGCTTTGCTTTTGGTGTGGCTGCTGGTAAGGCCCCACTCCATAGTGGCACACTACAGGTTTAGCAGCAGCACCTCCAACTCCTTCTATGAGTGAGCAGCAATCACCAGATTATCAGCGTATATAACATGGTTGACCGATAGAGAGCCATCCCGTGACTACACCCGGGCATTGATCAGATTGGCTACGAAAGAAGTTCAACATACACACGTACATACATTTTTAGATGCAAAGTTCGATTCACCGGAAAGTATTCCGGTGTATCCAACTCCTTTTCATAGTGAGCAACGGTTACATATCAGCATAGATTACATGGTTGAGCAATAGGGAGCCATCCCTTCACCATACACACACTCACAGAGTAGATGTAGACACACAGTAGACAGCTAACTACTGATATTCACACACACAGTAGATGGACGCAATGACGGAGCCAGGATTTTCAGGTAGGGAGGGCAACTCCTCCAGCAATGAAAAATGATAGGAGTTAGTAAGTAAGGACTTGTCCCTTGCTTTTTATTCGACGTGTGTGCGGCGATGGCGCAGCCATCGAGCAAGGGTCGAATTAGAATCGTGTGTGATCGGCATCGCGCTCGCTGAAGGTGAATGCCTTCAGGGAAGTCGTGTACTGCATAGGCAACTGCGCACAATTCTATGAGTTACTTATAACTGCTTTTCCATTACTTATTGCCAATTATGGACTCAGACTATTGTCCTATCATCTCATCGAGTCCCTGGCACGTAATAATATGCTACACTGTGGCAGTGGGGATCGCAAAATGCCGATTTATTACTAATAAACCCCAATGATCCGATCGAAATTAGCAATTTCGATCGGACTATTGGGGGGGCACGTGCCACCCCCACCCCCCATACTGGCTCCGCCAGTGCACAGACAGAAACGCAAGTACACATTCATACTGACTTAGTTTAACACATAGGCTTTTGCGACCATTATCCATATTTTAGTACACACAATGGACAGGAAGGACAAGATCACTGGGCTCGCATAATGCGCATGAATGTACGTTGACTCATTAATCCCACCCCCACTTCGCACAAGAAGAGTGCACAAGTATGATCACCACATCTCCGCCTCTATTTAAGGCACGAAGCAGGTGGAGTTCTCCACAAATCTGGCTGTCACCTGATGAAGCTAGTTGTATTACTGGCGAAACGTCGTACTCGGATTGTAAATGTTGTGGCGAATTGACATGTTCTGTTTACGTCAAAACCCTTAATTGTTGGCTGTGTCGGGTGGTGGCGGGTTTAACACATATATTTACGCGATTTGACCCAAATACCCTCTATTATGGATACTGATTGAGGTGGCTATGTTTAGTGTTTCCGTGTCTTAAGCGTCTACACGTCTAACCTCACTTCGTGTTTTGTCCATGTGTCCATGCCTCTGCGTGCGTGCACGTGTACATGTTTCTGTATTCGTGTGTGTACATAGCCTGGCACAAGCACCGTGGTAATGTCACCGCCACGAATGGCGGTTGGTGTTGTTTTGTCCGTGTGTCTGTCCGTGTCTCGTTTTCATCTCACTTGTCTTCTTGTCTCGCCCATGGGTCTGTGTGTCCACACGGACAAGGTTGGCTTCGTACGGTGCGAAAGAAATTCAACATACATACATACGTGTCCATGCGACCATGCCGTATCCGTTTGTCTGAGTGTGTGTCCGCGTCTTCAGCTCGTCACACTTGTCTCCTCTCTGTGTCCATTTGTGTCTGCACGTGTCTGTGTCTGCTCAAGTCCGTGTGCGTGCGCTGCGCTTTGACATGCATGTGCTTCACGTTGCCTGCGTGTGCTTTGCTTCACAGGTGCAGGAGCTGATCCTGAGCCTCATTCCGAACCCCCAGGTGGAGCTGGCCCTCGTGATGCTCATCGTCCCGTTCGTGGTCAACGTGAGTGCCGCTCACCACCTGCCACTCGCCAGGGATGTCGCCTGCTCCTGTGAACTTCACCACCCGTTCATTCATTCATTTCTCCGCCTATGTTGAGGACTTGGCCAACCAGACACTGACTGCTTTGTCTCATCCACACTGTTCAACTGCTACAAACGAATTTTTTTTTTTTTACCAGGTAAGGCACAATGAGCCGTATAGCTCTTTTTCAGAAGTGTCCCTGGCTATCACAAATTATAGCCCAATGAAGCGACTTATCACGTGGAAATCTATAGCAGCAGCCAAATATTCTAAATGCGGAGGAAAAAAATGGAGGACCCGGAGAAAAATCCGTGTGACCATGGGGAGAGAGACACGCAAACTCCAAATATACAGCAGGCATCAGGGTCAGGATCGAACCCACGACCTCCTGTATGCTAGGCGAGGGAGTTAACATCTCGCCACTGTAGCGCCCCTTAAATACGGCAGGTCACAATAACTTTGCTCGCCCAATCACTCACATCCTCCCATTCCCCAAAACAAAGTCAAAGATCCCCCGTATATCCTGAACAGACTGTTGGGGCAAGTGCTGTTAGCGAGCACCTATGAAGGCTGACACAGCACACAAGGAGGTGGGTGGCCAGCACCACGCCCGACCGCCTTTGTCTCCCCAGTGGCGATATTTTTACACACCGCACCAGGCACTCATTTGAGGCTGAGTCAACCTATGGGAGACCCAGGACCGTTTAAGATAACCGCCACTGGTGTTGACCATGAGCAGTAATCGAACTCGGGTCGTTGGGTTGGTAGCGGTGCACGCTAACCACAACACTACCACTCGCCGCACTCACAAACATACTCAATCACCCACTCAATTGCCCCCTCACTTAACTACTCACATACACACTCACCAACTCACCCACTCACCACACTGCAAGTCAAAGCACTTCTCTTGCTGCTGCATCTCACTTACCAAAATGTAGCTGTCCTGAAGATGCTTGACTCAGTCTCAAGAGAAAAAGCTTGCGAATCTCTGATCTAACTGATGCTGATTCTGGCTGTGAAAGTTTCCCTCTTACTCACCCTCGGTGAGTGGGTGAGTGAGTTAGCTGAATGAGTGATGCTGAATCTGGCCTTGAGAATCGCCCTCTTACTCACCCTCGGGGAGTTGAGCTGAAACAACGTTAACTCTTTGCGTGTCGTGAAACGGTTATGCACTGCGTGTGGCCATCCCGTTGGTAGGTGGGCGTCACGGTGACTTTGCGTGGCGTGCCTGTTGGTGTGTGGGTTGCACGGTCACCCTGTGTGGTAATCTTGGTGGCTGGTGTGTGGGTTAATTTAACACGTAGGCTTTCGCGACCAATATTATTCATAATATAGGTTTTTGGGTCAGATCGCGTTATTTATAAATGTGTCGTAACCCTCCACCACCCGACACGGCCAAACAGTAAAAAATGTGTCACGTTTTCAAAGGACAAATTAATTGACTTCTTTAGCCCACCGGTGTGCTGAAGAGAGAATAAACAGCATTTTAAAATTTGAGTACGACGTTTCACTGATAATTACAATCAGCTTCATCGGGCAAGAATGGTGAAGCTCTCCTGTTGATTTTGATAACGTTGAAGTGTTGTGTAAAACTAATTATTACTGGCCAAGACTAATTAGAGAATCCATTGAAATTGAGAGAAACAGAAATAATTTAAATCGCTCTGACAGCTACAGGCTTAGTGCGGCCTGGAAGCGTATTATCAAATAAATACAATTACAATTCCTTATAAGGGAAACAAATACCAATGAATAACAATTCAATTATTACCAATCTATATAATTACAATACCCTCCCCCTCCTTGCCTCGAATCACTGCGCCAGATTGAATTGAATTAAATGATGACGTAACCCTGATGCTGCTCTATTTAAGACCGGAAGCAACAGGAGAGCTTCACCATTCTTGCCCGATGAAGCTGATTGTAATTATCAGTGAAACGTCGTACTAAAATTTTAAAATGCTGTTGATTCTCTCTTCAGCACACCGGTGGGCTAAAGAAGTCAATTTATCCTTTGAAAAACGTGACACATTTTTTACTGATTGACCGTGTCGGGTGGTGGAGGGTTATGATACATTTATAAATAACGCGATCTAACCCAAAAACCTATATTATGAATGGTTTGTGGGTGCCTGCGGGGTTCAGGCCGTCATGTTCTGGCTGACGGACAACTTCCTGATGAAGAAGGGGAAGGTGAAAGCCAAATCGGACGGAGACGACGCCAGCTCGGTGCGCTACTACCGGCGCGCTGCCTCGCGGGACGACTCCGAGTCCGAGGTGCGTTCTCGTGCGTTGTGCTGGCCACCCCCACTCCCTTGCGTGCCGTTCCGGCCTTCATAGGTGCTCGCTAACAACACTTGCTCCGAACAGTTTGTTAAGGCTATATGGGGGATCTTTGTGTGAGTGGGTGTGCAAGTGTGTGGGTGTGCATTTGTGTGTGCGTTAGTGTGTGTGTGTGCGCGTTTGTCTGAGTGGGTGTACAAGCGAGTGCATGTGTGGGTGGGGAGCGGTAGTGTAGCAGTTAGCATTTTTTTCTACGAACCCGACGGCCCGAGTTCGATTTCCGCTCACGGCCAACACCAGTGACAATTATCTGAACCGGTCCTGGGCCTCCCTTAGGTCAACTCAGCCTCAAATTAGTGCCTGCTGCGGTGTGTAAACATCACCACTGGGGAGACAAAGGTGGCCGGGCGTGGTGCTGGTCACCCACCCTTGTGCTGTGCCATACTGGCCTTAATATAATAGCTGCTCGCTAACGGCACTTGCCCCAACAGTCCATAGCCTACACAGAGGACCTTTTTCTATTTGTGTGCATGTGTGTGATAATGTCCACGTGTGTGTTCATGTGTGATGACAATTATGGCAGTAAATCATTAATGAGTACGATGACGACGATGATGGTGATGTTGACGTTCATGGTGTTCATCATGGTGGTCATGTCGATGAGTGAGGGATGTTCACAACCCCTAACCCTATCACAACGATGTCACGACGACGACAACAATGACAACAATGACAACAATGACGACGATGATGACAACAATGACGACAATGATGATGACGATTATGACGATGTTAACGAGCGTGCCTTTCCTCGCTCAGGTACTCCTGTCGCCGGACGAGTCGGACAAGGTGGACAGCGACCGGGACACGCGGCGCCTCATCGGCAATGGCACGGCCGCCAAGAAGAAGAAAGTTCGCTTCGAGATGCCCGTGTAGCGCCGCCCCCCCCCTGGTGAAGGGAGTCCTACGGTGGAGAGGGTCCGCTTGGCCAGCTGGCACCACCACCACCACCTTCACTGCGACCTCCACCACCGGCACCACGCAGATGAAGACGTCCGATCGCTGGTGCCACCACCACCGAGCGCACACACACGCGTCTTAAAGCGTGTGTGTACGCATTCTGCTTTGTCTTTGTCGATCTAGGTACAATCTGGCTAGCCAGACTCGAGACAACCGGCGATTTAAATTCTCACCAAATATATCTTCCGCTTATTGCCGCTTGACTCAAGTTTGATGGCACGAGACTTTTTAAGTGGCAGCCATAGGCACAGCGAGAGAGGCGGGGGGGGGGGTACCCGGACGTGATGTGCGGGTGCGTGGGGTGGGCCGATGTTGCTGGACTGCCCGGGACCGAACTTGAGGCTGAACCCAATTTCTCTGCGGACGAACACCGTGACCGCCCCCAAGCGAAACGAACCCAAGCCGCAAAGCCAACCAACCGACGGATGCGCCTTCGTTTGGCCTAGCGGCACTAATGCTCGCAAAACGGAACTGAACTGGACTTCTCATCATCATCACCACCACTGCGACAAACTTATCCTTCATGGCTGGACAGTGTTGACATTTCCAATTATTTTTTAAATCTCTGGACAGATTCGAACAAAGAGCTCGACGGGACAAGCTAGCGGCGTGCAATTTGGGGGTGGGGGGGTGGTTTGAGGGGGGGTCCATATGATAACGCCGCCAGCGCACGCTCCGTGCATTACAAACCAACGAGAACCAAACTCAGGGACAAGGCGAGGTCTGCTGCTCGACGCTCCGTTTCTGTGGCTTGCTGTCTACGTTGCAGAGCCACGGGGGAGGTGGCTCGCTGGCTGCACGGAGCCAGGGGGGGTGGGAAGCTCGCTGGCTGCACGGAGCAAGAGGGGAGGAGACTCACTGGCTGCACAGAACCAGGGGGGAGGTGGCTCGTTAGCTGCACGGAGCCAGGGGGGAGGTGGCTGGCTGGCTGGCTGCACGGAGCCAGGGGAGAGGTGGCTCACTGGCTGCACGGAGCCAGGGGGGGGGAGTTCGCTGGCTGCACGGAGCAACGGGGGAGGTGGCTCGCCGGCTGCACGGAGCCAGGGGGGGTGGGAAGCTCGCTTGGCTGCATGGAGCCACGGGGGAGGAGGCTCGCTGGCTGCATGGAGCCATGGGTACAAATTGGTCGTGGCCGTGGTTGCGGTGCATTTCTAGGACCTCGCTCCGTGCACTGTTCACCGCCGATTCGGGTGTCATGGTGGCTAGAAGATGTTATCTCCCTCGCCTGGTATACAGGACGTCATGGGTTCCATTCCCGATCATGACGATGCCTGTAATTATTGGAGTTTGCGTGTCTCTCTCCCCGTACTCACGTGGAGTTTTCTCTGGGTCCTCTGGTTTTTCCCTCCACATTAAGAAACATAAATTTTTATTATTTTGCTGATGTAAATTTCGACATGATAAGCCACTTTATTGAGCTATCATTTGTGGCCAGGTCGCTTCTGAAAAACAGCTCCATAGCTCAGTGGGCTTTACCTGGTAAATACACCTTTTTCTTACTTTTTTGCCTAGGAGAGAGACAGAGGTAAGTCGTTTGCTCAACGTGGCCAGTTTTCAATATGCTAAGTTCCCCAATCGCAACACAAGTAAACACAAAAGCTTTGTTACAGGAGAGTTGCCGTGAGTGACCCCCCCCCCCCCCCCCCATCCTTTACAGGCACCAGAGCTGACTCGATGGCCCTCTCAGGCTTTGAGTTTTGAGGAGTTGGGTCTACGTGGTGAGAATTTATTCTCTCAAGTTTGTGCCACACGTTACTGACTACGGGCATCTTCAAGGGTTGTAACTAAATTTTTTTGTTCAAAGTTGCTGAGCAAAGGCCCAAAATTATCAATCGGCCAGCAACCAACAGCACAATAAAAGCTGTTATAGACAAAGAGTGTAACACATTTCCCAGATTGAGCAAGGTTATTTTAAGAGCTTGCGGCAGCGGGGGGGTGGGGGGGCAACAGACAATGATGGGAGGAGGGAATCTTCAAGTGGAGCAGTGCGAGAAAAGCAGCAGAGAGAGAAGTGAGGTGTCCTGTGGTGTGGTGAGTGAGTGCGTTGGCTTGTGACCGTATGAGCAAGTGAGTTGCTGTGACCTGCAGTGTGGTGGGTTAATGGCTGACTGGGGTGTATTGGCGTGTGACCGTATGAGCAAGTGAGTGTTGCTGTGACCTGCAGTGTGATGGGTCAGTGACTGGGATGTCTTGGTGTGTTTGACAACTGCTTGACGCCGCTGTTCTGGACGCGTCAGCGCCACCAGAGCGCGAACTATCGTTTGTGTAAATTCTGGTTTAGCGTGGTTGTCTGTGGTTTCGCCCCCTGTTGGCACTCGCTACCGCACACCCCAACCATGCGTAAGTTTTGGTTCTGGAGAATTTAAATGGCAAAACTGGCAGCACGGCCGACGATCAGGAGCAAGGGAAGAGATGTGTGTGTGTGTGTGTCACTGATTGACGGTGTCATGATCGCCCTCTTTGGAGGAGGCTCGTGAAGGACGCTGCTGGGCAGTTGGAGGCAGTTTTAGGCAGTCATCCTCCAGCAACAAGAGGATGGAGGAGCGACGCTCACAACAACGAGCGGAGTGCGGAGCAGATAACACGTAGCAATTTGGTACAGTGGAAAGCACAGGTGGTGCATCTGCAGTCAGTCATCTCAGTCAACCCATGGCACCTGGGTCTGTCCCATGACCTGCCAGCGAGCCTTTGATACTCCACGTGGCCTCAAGGTGCATCTAGCATGGCACAAGCGCCGTGACGATGCTACCACCGCTTAGTGGGAAACGGCAGTTGTCTTTGTCACGTTCGGCCGCTTCCACTTTCATTTTTGGGCAGGGTTGCCTACAAGAGAGACGATGCTAGTCAAAACGATCGCTCCACCAATTTTTCCTTGATGCAAGGTTGCGATGGTTCGTATCGTCTATTTAAACAACGATGATGACGGGAGGACAGCAGCCACTCGTGGGGCACATCCTCGGAAGAGATCGTGATTGAATCGGCCAAGCGCAGCCTGCATGGTGGAGTCTTATACCGCAGGATCGCGCGAGAATGTGACGGCTTGGCAGGGTGGTTTAGTGCTCATCCTGCAGTGGGTTGCTCATGGGTGGTGATGATGATGTGGATGTATCAAAGACGGGAGAAGCGTTAGGAGGAGGTCTTCATGATTTTGTAATTATGTGGACTTCAGAGGAGACGGAGCGGATGCATTCCGACGATTTAAATTCCACAGAACCTGGGTGAATGTTCCGGCTGTGTAGCATTCACTTTGCCTACATATTTCGTCCTAATGTTTTTCTAGATATATATTTTTATATTATTATTCGTTCATCCGTCACAGGTACGGAAAGTACTGACCAGCGGCAGTCGGGGACCTAAAGGGGCACGAAGAGCAGATCCCATTGCAGATTCGCAACAAACGCTGCAGAGAAGTGATGGGGCGACGTGTGGAGCGCTTTATTTCTTAACGCTTTAATTTAACCGTGTATCACGAATAATTATCAATGCTGTTATGATATTTAACATCGTGCTGATCAGGTCAGCATGGATAAGTAGACCCAAAAACACACCGGAGTTCACTTGAGCGGAGGCCGCATCTGCCAGTGGTGGTGTGAGCGAGTGCCTGCAGGGCTGCCCCTTTACCTTTGTACTCCGAGTTATGGTGATGGGGGGGGCTTTCATAGGTAGTACTGCTCGTTACTAACGGCACTTGCCCCAGAAGTGTGTTACAGGCTATACGGGGTGGGCGGGGGGGGATCTTTGTCTTCGCCAAAGTCGTGGGTCAGCGCATTGGACTCGTGATGCAAGAGGCCACCAGTTCGATTCCATCTCCCGGCCTGGTCCGTTGAGACAATGGGGGCGAGTTGCTTACATCAGCACCACCCACCCCCCCTTAGCCCAGACACATCTCTCTCCACCCATAGCAGCATAAATGGGTGCACTAAAATTCATCAACCGGCAGGTCGAGTGTGGTGGGGTAAAGTGTGGTGGTGAAGGTAGTACAGGAAGTGGGATCATTCAAGAACCCATCCGTGTTGACCCTTTGAGTGTAATCCCCTCTAATGTCGACCCGTTCGGTTGTCTCCAGGTTCTCTGGCTTCCACCCAAAGCAAAACTCATTAATTATGGAATTCCTGGCCATGCGGGAGCCTCCTGCAAAAAAAAACGATTCTTAAGAGCAGAGCTTAATTTCTCACGAAATATTTTCGTGGTCTTTCATTCTGCACTGAAGGTGGCAAATGTTTTGAAACTCCCTTCGATGAGGTGTCATATACCCAAGTGTGCGGGATAGATTGTTGCCCCCTCTTACACGTGAGTTTTCTCCGGGTTCCCTCAGTTTCCTATGTACGGTGCGAAGAATTTCAGTGTTTGAACATCTGAACATCTGTTGTATTGTCAGAAAGGGTCAAACCTATTCTTATTTTTTTATACTTGGATGCTGGAAAAAAAGGTCCCATGATATCACATAGTGGCTCCATTTTTCTTGCTATAGCCTGTGGCTCCTGAACCGCATGTGGCTCCGTGGCTTCGTTATTCACATTGCCATTTGCGGCTCTTGAAATATTGGAGAGATTTTTTTGGGGTTTTACCTTTTACTGAATTCAAGAAAAAATTGCTGCTCTTGTTAATTTGCTTGCCCCCCTTCCCTTGCTATGAGGTAAGGGGTGAAGGGAGATGTGGCATGCCAGAGTGCCCCCCCGCTACTACACTGGTGGTGGCCGTGGTCATTGACTTTATTATGAAGGCAAAACAATCAATTGAGCTGTGTACCCCCGCCTGTGTTGCAGTTTGGGGGGGGGGGGGGGGGGAGTTGAACTTAAGTTTACATTGCTTGGGTGGGGGTGGGCATGGGTCAACCGAGACTGGAACCGGGGTAAAGATTCCCGAGTGGCGAGCACGTGGCATCTTATTCTGTAAAGACGCGCACTCTACATTTGTAACTATACAATACAATAAACAAAACAAGTGGGGGAAATGTTTTCTGGTGGCTCTGCCCTTGTGTGTTCATGCCGTACATGTACGTGTATGTGTAGGGCTGTTACAGAGGGGCTGTATGTGTAGGGCTGTATGCATAGGATCACACGGGTAACAAACACAGTGGGCGGGGCTCCGTGAGTACACGGGGAGGTGCCCGCAACGACGTCCGCACCGGGCGGCCTGGGGGGCTGCCCGGGGGGTTGTGATCCTCCGGGGGGTATAAATGGGGATGAGCCGGAGAGCTCGGGGTTCAGTTTAGAGTAAAAGGGGGAAGACAGAAGATCGACTAGCTAGAGCCCTGGACTCCCCTGGGACGCCGCCCTTGTCAGGGCCGCGCAGGACCGAGCCAGTGGCGTGGTCCCGTGAACCAGAGTTAGTACTCTGGGACTCCGGGTACCGTAGCCCGACTGACCAGTGTCGGGCCAGATAGCCTCCCCTAGCCCGTTAGTGGAGGACTAGGAGGTAGGTCAGGGGTAGCTAGTAGAGTATTTCCAGCTATCCGGGTGAGGGGGCCGATACACCCCTCTAGTATTGTATGTCCGCAGTGTGACTACTTGTACGACTAAATACGTGTGCCCAACAACGGTGTCCAAGTGTCATCAACGGTACTTCATCTGGTGTCAAAACAACTACGAACATGGACACGCGCCAAACAGCTCGAGCCAAAGTACCGCAAGTGGAGGACATCGCTGAAATTGTCGAGCCCGAGACGGCTCAACAAGACATCGTGCAACCGGGGCCGGACGCGTTCTTACCGGGGCATCGGCATGAAGAGGAGCCGCAGACAGAAGGGCTGAGGCTGGCTCACGCAAGGCTGGCAGAGCTACTTTACGCCGCTGCCGCCACGCTGGAGAACCTCACGCGGCTGGGGGCTGGTGGTCCACCACGGGGCGAGGAGAGCCGGCGTCCGGAGCGCCTT